TAACGCGCGGATCGAGTGACACTCGCGTTGACAGTGCTTCTAAAGTGCTTTTGTGTCGAACGCTTTTGTGGACACCCGCGAGTGTTGCGATTTCGCGAAAATTGACATTTCTTTTTACAGACTTGCCGCAGTAACGTTACCGGAGGAACGTCGTAACGCGCGGATCGAGTGACGCTCGCGTTGACAGTGCTTCTAAAGTGCTTTTGTGTCGAACGCTTTTGTGGACACCCGCGAGTGTTGCGATTGCGCGAAAATTGACATTTTTTTACAGACTTGCCGCAGGAACGTTACCGGAGTAACGTCGTAACGCGCGGATCGAGTGACACTCGCGTTGACAGTGCTTTTGTGTTGAACGCTTTTGTGGACACCCGCGAGTGTTGCGATTGCGCGAAATATGTGCGACGCCAATTATCCACTGAGCCCACCGGAGGGTCGCGTTGTTGGCGAGACCCAGGCGCTCGTCCACGACGATCCATCGACAACGACGGTGGATAATGTGCTTCGTCGTGCTAGAATTATGTACCTGCCGCTGCCGCGGCGGCCGCCGCCGCCGTTTATTCCAAACGTGGACGCGATAGACCAATATTGTGAAACGGCGCAGGAACGCTATCAGCGTTACCAAGTGCAGCGTCAGCAGCAGCAGCAGCAGCAGCAGCAGCAGCCGACACCGCAACGACGATTGCCGATCATAACGCAACAGGTAATCGTTTCAGCAGCTATTTGTCCGCCACCTGATCGTCCGCGATCGACACGAACGTATTCGAAGGGCCCTTGAGCTCTTACGATTACACGGGATACTGCCGCCTCTTCCCGGAACGCGGGAACCGCCGGTAAGCGGTCGCGTAAGCGTGAGCTCTCGATCGCGCCCATCCGAAAACGTTCGCGTCACCGACGAACCTATTGTCCTATCCGACGACTCCTCTCGATCGCGCCCGTCCGAAAACGTACGCGTCACCGACGAACCGATTGTCATATCCGACGACTCCTCTCGATCGCGCCCGTCCGAAAACGTACGCGTCACCGACGAACCGATCGTCATATCCGACGACTCCTCTCGATCGCGCCCGTCCGAAAACGTCCGCGTTACCGACGAACCGATCGGCGTATCCGACAACTCCGAAGTTGACAGTTCGTCGATTATTAACATTTTGGATGACGAGGAAGAAGCGGTTACGAGGAATAGGGATGAGCAAACTTCGCGATTTAGCAGCGACGACGAAGACGACGACGACGACGACGACCCCCGTCACCCACTGATAAGACGGCTCAATCCCACCGTCCTAAACGTCAACGACCCAAGGAGTTACGATAGGACCAGCGATATAGATTCGTTGATCGTGGTTAGCAGGACGCTAGAGCCATTTAAATGCAACGTAATCTGTAAAATACATATAAAGCCAAAAGTGAAAAACACGAAATTAACTAGATACATCGCGAAAAGAGACCAATTTCGTCCGCCCGTACGCGAACCGGCGTTCGCCGTCCGCTACGGCGATGAAGTAGACAAGCGCGGCCAGTTCTACGAATTCGAACTGAGAAAAATAGACTTCCTGTCCGTGTACGTGTTGTTCCAGCTAGACCGGGAAAATGAATTCTTTCACGGTGTTCCGCGAACAACGAACCGCGACGAGGACAAGCAATTGCGGCGTGCAGCGGCCACATTTAACCAGCGCATCGTTGTACGCGCGGCACGAGAACTTCCGACGCGGACGGAAACGGCGCGAGCGGGCATAAAATACGTCGCGGACGAGGTAGATCGGACGTACAACGTCATGTACGTAGATTTTCGCAGGTTCGCTACACTGTTGAGCGAACGATTGCGAATATGCCACGACTTGATCAACACGTGCGGCATGTCGTACGTCCGATTCTACATGTACGAGCATGGCATGCGCCTTCCGAAGGATATCGCGCAACGGATGCTGGATCGCATGGTCCATGTCGACCATCCGCACGTCGACATCGTGCAGATTCACCGAGTCGACGTTTACCGATCGACCGAACCTGAGACCGCGTTACTGGTAAAACTGTCCGGCACCGGGCGCAACGATTCTCTCGTTGGTCTTACCGCGAATGGCATTAAACTGTCGTACAAATCGACGCACAAATATTGCGTCGGTTTTACCGCCGATTACGGCTATTTCGACGCTAGCGTCGCCCCGGAGCGAGGGATTACCCCGGTCACATACATGCAGGCGTACTGCTCGGCGGCCAAAATGGCACGCCTGATGAATTCCGGGTTTACGGCGGCGTACGCGATCTGCCGCGGATTCGCCCACGGCGGGAAAACCTTCTCCATGATCAAAAAACAATATCGGCAGTGCGTGACGGACTTTCTCGCGTACGTCGATAATTACGTGATAGATGCTCCGGCGCTAAGAATAGAAGAGGTTTTGACTTTCGATAGTCTCAGAATTCATGACACCCTGTCGGACAACTTGGAAAATCGCGGCGTGTTCCACTTACACCGCGTGTGCATAACGACGCGCGCGATGTTCACGCTAAACCTTATTTACAAAATGCACAATTGGGGAAGACATACCCGAAAGTGCGTCGGACGATCTCTCCAATACATGGGACAAATCGCCCGGTTCGAAAACCCGGAATACGCGACGGCTGTATGGACACCGTCCGCAACGACAAGCCGCGCAGTACGGGCAGCTTTCCGCGGAATGTACTTCGCGCACGGAATAAATCCCGTGTACAACTATCAGGTCACGGGAAACATGTTCCTAAACGGACGCGAAAACACCTCCGTCGATAGGGGTATGGTACAATTGCGTCCGTTAGACGACCCGACGGACGATTTCGTTTATCCCTTGTACACGAGCGCGATAAGATCTTGCTTCACGAATGTTATGCGACACGCGCTAAACGTGACGCGTGAAATAGAAACGATTGAGGGGGTGCCGAACGAGGACGAAACAACGCGAGCGATGAGATACATCGTCGCGCTGTACGCGTCGTGGGCGTACTCGCAATTTGTGGGCAATGACACGTTAACGAACGACGATAGGAACGTGCTGATAAATTATTACTTTGAACATTACGAAAGGCTTTCAAATTAAGAACATTTTTGACGGAATACGAATCCCACCCATTGTTAAATCTTCGCGCTATAATCCACAACGTGTATTCAGCAACGAGAATCGCGCAGGCCATCCTAGACGCCAATACACCATTCGCGCGCGTCGCGCGAATGACGGTACGAATAGACGACGAATTTAGATTTCTGGAATTACTGACAACTTTTATAGCGAACCACGTGGACGTATTTCCGATGAACGTCATACAATGGCCCGGGGAGTACTACGCGTGGTGCGTAATAAAAAAAGACAGGCAAACGATAACGGTACGAAATGTCAGGACACGACTACGAATGATACGCCGCGAAAAAAGACGCGGTCGCGAAACTCACGACGACTACTACGACGACGACAACGACGACGACGACGACAACGACGACGACGATCAACCGCCATTAACGACTTCAGCTAACGCTGCAACTAGCGGTAGTCGTCAACGTCCTCCCGCTACTGCGGCACCACTGTCACCACAGCCGCAATTGCCGTTATCACCGCCATTAACGACTTCTGCTAACGCTGCAACTAGCGGTAGTTGTCAACGTCCTCCCGCTGCTGCGGCACCACCGTCGCCACAGCCACAATTGCCGTTATCACAGCCATTAATGACGACGACGACGACGACGATAATAGAAATTACAGACGATGAAGACGAATCTCAGCCGCGGCCTCCAGGTAGGAGAGGAAAAACAACGTTTTTTCCCGAGTCCAACCAAGTCGAAGAAACGGCGGCGCCGTCGCCGCCGCCGATGTCGACGAGAGAAGACGATTCTCAGCCGCGGCCTCCGGGTAGGAGAGGAAAAACAACGTTTTTCCCCGAGTCCATCAACCAAGTCGAAGAAGCGAAGGCGCCGTCGCCCAACGAAGACGAATATCAGCCTCCCGCTACCACCGCCACTGGTAGTCGTCCTGTTGCTGCTGTAGCGACAGAACACGTGAGCGTGTCATCCGAAAAAGAGTCGGATGGCCGTGCGGGGTGCGCGCGCGGATATTGGTCAGTAACGTCGCGAACGCCGTCGCCGCCGCCGCCGATGTCGACGAGAGACGATTCTCAACCGCGACCTCCGAGAATCAGTAGAAAAAGAAAACACGACCCGTTGGACGAATATAAAGCGCTCCGTCGAAAAGCTGGTAAGAGATGGAGAGGAACGATGGGAACGTTCGTCGTACCGTCGCCCGAAAAAAACGAATGTCAGCCTCTCGCTACCACCGCCACTGGTAGTCGTCCTGCTGCTGCTGCTGCTGCGACAGAACACGTGAGCGTCTCGTCCAAAAAAGAGTCAGATGGCCGTGCGTGGTGGGTGCGCGGATATTGGTCAACAACGTCGCAAACGCCGTCGCCGCCGCCGATATTGCCGAAAGTCAAAATGACCGGTTATGACTCATCAACCACCACGGACAGCTCGACCTTGAGACGCTCAAAGCGTTTTAAAGCAGCAGCATCAGCAGCCTTACCAACGATCGAAGAAGAAATCGATGACTCGACCACTTCGACCCGGAGACTGTCCAAAGGACTACCGATCCAAACGCCAGCCAAGTCGAATGGCCATGCACCTGGTCCGTCATCACCGCCAGCTTTACCGAGACGCGAGCCGATAAAAAAATCAGCTAGTGACTCAACCACCTCGGCCACCTTGACCTCGAGAGGTTCAAAAAGACTGAAAAAAGCAGCAGCCTCACCGTCGACGTCGAAAAGTATAAGCGTCGGTGACTCGACTACCTCGGCCACCTCGACCGGATCCAAAAAAAGGCCCGGTCCAAAAATGACGATACGCGACTTTACGTCTCGCATGGACCTACTGATAATGAGACACGCCCTAACGACGTTTACCCCCAACACCTTATCGTCGTGGGAACCTCTCATAAGTTCGATCCCCGAGTTCGCAATTTTTACGCCTGCGCAACTGCGCTACCGACTCCTTCAGCTGTGCGACGGATTGCACAGCGAAGAATTCGGTAACAAGTACCGCGACATGTTGGAGCAGGTCAGACAAATGTGCCGCAATCAAAAAATTCTTCGCTCACGTAAATGAAAACATTGTGCCGCGATTTTCAAGTACGGAAATAGGTACGTAAATACCCACGTAGCACATGGACGTCCACTGTTAAACGTTGTCAAATTTTATTTCAGTACTGTTATTTTCACGAGGATACTTTGAGAAAAAACAAATATAACGATTGAATTGCATTCAATATTATCGTAATCGATAATTATTCAACGTCGATTGAATCGTTGCTTTGTTTTATTTTCAAAATATTTCTATCGGCATAAAATAACGCGAGTCTTTGCGCAGCGAAAGAGCGTGCAAAACTGATGACACGCGCGAGTGATATCGTTGCGTGTCACTTCGTTTCTTATGGAGGACAATCCTGTGAAACGATATTTTTCACATATTTCAAAAATGTTCGATGATACGAAATGCATACGTGTACACACACATATATATATAATGTTGTATATATACATATATATATATATATTATATATACATACATTTATTATATTATATTATTATATTTATACTATACATATATTGTAATAATTTCAGGATCTGTGGACTTAACAAAAAAGCGGAGATTATCATAATCGAGATAAAAGATTGAAAGCTCTGCAAACAATAGCTGAGCAGCTTCTCGAACTGAGTGGTTGTGTGGTTACCGTAGATGTAATAAAGAAAAAAATTGCTAATTTAAGAACACAATACTTGGAGCAAATTAATAAAATTCAAAAATCTAAATCGAGCGGAGCTGGTGCAGACGACGTATAAACCAACTTGGTGGCTATTTGAAGAATTAAGTTTCTTGGCACCTCATGTAGCATCCAGAAAAGGCGAATCCTCTGTATCAAAAAATATTGTCGCAAAATCATATGTTGATACTTCTACATCCTCTCAAGAATGCGAAAACGATGAGAATATAGATGACTTATTTTTCACGGATGTACAACAAGTATTGAGATCAAATAACAGCCATAATACAATATATCAAGAAAAGGTAAAATTAAATCCATTATTTATTTGAATATGTATCAAAAATTACTGGTATAACATAAATTTACGCACTAATCTATTTTATTTTGCAACAAGCCATGACTATAAAGTCTTACTTTACAGATTTTTGTAATTCAACCCCTATCAAGACTACAAATTCTTCAGCAACGACGTCTATTCCACATAAATGAAACAGAAGAAATGATCGAAACACAGAGTGTGCATTCTGAAACTTCCAGTGCGTCAAGTTCGCAGCTCACATCGGGTAAAGGAAGCAAAAGAAAAAAAGTAGAACCAAACGAAAATACTAGCGAAGCATTTTGGACAAACATCAACGCTGCGTTGAAAGACATAAAGAAAGATGATCAGAAACAGGAAGAAAAGGAAGAAGACGCTGGTCTTCATCATTGGCTATTATTTTTGAAGTCAGAAATGCAGTGCATAAAAGACGGACGACGTTTACGGAGACTACAAGTTAATATTTTAAATCTCGTTTAAGAAGCGCAGGATATAGACAGTGCTGTGCAATGAAAATGATTAACAATAACTTCAAACTATATCGATTACATTTATTTATTTTTATTTTTACATATATGTTCAAATTTTAATGTTTCTTCGTTTTTTTCCTCACAATGCCGCTCACTTATGCTGAACAAAGTTTTTTGTAAAAAATGGTATTAAAAAATAAAAAGTATAACTATATTGGAGCTATATGTCTACAATTATTCTGACGACCTAATTATTGTTTCAATATACCTGAGCTAATTCTCATTACTTATATCTCTTACATCTCATTAGTTCATTACTTATATACTTATTATTTATTACTTATTACTGATACACTTACTATTATATAATATACTAGTTATACTTAATTTTATACTTAATATACTTATTATTATTATATACTTATATTACTTATTATATATATTTATATAATTATACTAAAATATATACTATATATTTATACGCGGGCGTATATGCGTTTCTTCAAGTTTGTGGAGCCTTTTCATTATAAATTACTTATATCTCATTACTCATATTATTGTACCATATTTTCTTGCCAAGAAACCGAACCGACTGTATTAAAATATTGTTTAAACGTTGAACGTACATGAAGAGAATTTCGATTTGGACGAACATTAGTTACATGTAGACTTTGTAACTGATTATTATATATTGATGAGTCAAAATTGATGTCTTTGACATTTGTTATTTCATTAAATGCTGCTTTACCTATAAAATTATGCAATGCACAGCAAGCTAAAGTTACATTTTGTACTGTCTCAACCGGTAAGTAAATTACAGTTTGCAGTACACAAAATCGGTTTGCCAAAATTCCAAAAGCATTTTCTACAACTCTACGACCCCTAGAAAGTCTATAATTGAAAATGCGTTCACTATGCGTCATGTTTCGGAATGGATACGGCTTTAAAATATTGTTGCAAAGAGGAAAAGCAGCATCCGCTAGAATAACATATGACATTGGTTCAGTCATCCCAAGAAGTGGTTTATTTGATGGAATATTCAGTAGATTTGCAGGACTCTCTAGTAATTGAGATAAATCACTGTCTCGAAAAACTCCGCCATCACCACTCGCCCATTTACTCCGACATTTACGTACAGAAACAGGTAATTCGCATCTACTAGTGCCAGAAGAACTATACTGTCAGTTCCTTTATAATTACGGTACAACGATCCTTGGCTCAGAGGAACTTTAAACTGAATATGTTTGCCGTCTAATGCACCGATGCAGTTTGGCACATCCCATTGTGTGATATAGTCTTCAGCAACACGATTCCACTCATCTTCTGTATCTGGAATCTATAATATTATGTGTTTTACGTTAAGTATTCTTGATGTATTTTGTACTAGAAAATAAAAATTATCGTTTAAATATTTACCTTCAAATACTCATCTCTTAGTACCTCGTAGATTACTCTGACCGTTTCAGGTATGATACGTGATAAGGTACAAGTAGGTATCCTTGTTGTGAATTCTAGACTCCGATATGATTCTCCAGTTGCCAAGTATCGTAAAGTTATAGATAATCTTTGACTCGGCGGAATGCATTGTCGCATAATTGTGTCTTGTTTTTGAATAAATGGAGATACTTTATCCAATAAAATGTTAAATAAACGCGGATCCATCCTGAAAAATGAATGAAAAGACTCAACATCTTCATGGAGAAGTTCACTGTGTGCTAAATGAAGCGATCCTCTTAATTGACGTTGTCTTCGTAGAATCCATTCTCTTGTCCATCATCTCCGTGTTCATCGTCGCTTTTGTTTTTCTCGTTCTTTTTGCTGCTTTTCATGATGTTCTACAGCCATAGCAATAGTTGCAAGAGTTAACAACCTTTTTAATTTGTTCATTGTCGTTGAGCTATTTATTCTTCAAAATCGTCACAAGCATCTGAAACTGTATATACGTTATTTTCCAGGACTATAAAACGTATAAGCAAGCAATCCAGTTCGTATTCAAGTTTCACGTATTTAATACTCACTGTGTATCGTTATTTACGTTTGCGCTATGTTCTTACGGTGTACGCCAGACTCTATGGCAAGTAGCACGTGATGGGTTACAATCTGAATCGAGCGTTGATACGTTGTCCAGGCGTGGAGCATTAGCAATCGTGGAACTACATAAAATACCAGTCCCTGTTACCAATTGCCACGAAACTCATGAAGATGTTGAATCGTTTCGTTGTTGAACATGCGAATTGCGTGGTATAAGAACACTAATCGGAGATGTAACGATTTGCAGGCAATGATGAACGCGATTCTTGTGCAGCATCACCTTCTTCACTCGGAGATGTAGGAAGTGTCCCATGTGGAACATTTCTATATATGTATATACAAAGATATGTTAGAAATCTGATCAAAATACATAACAGATGACGTTATTATAAAAATGTTGCAATAACATTTTTTTGCATAAATAATTAAAGTAGCCTAATTAAAGTAACCTACACATCGTTTCGTGCATCATCTTGATCCTTCTTTCTTTTTTGAGGTTACTGGCACCGGGCGGTTAATAGAGGCTGCGGTCCACTTGACGCTACAAATGCTTTCAATGAAGAAAGAAGGAGAAGAAAAATGCTCCGAAGTATTTGTAGCGTCAAGTGGACCGCAGCCAGAATCGATTATTTCCATCACAGTTTTCTATCGCAGCGCCATCTGTTTCTATACAAGACATTGCTTTTTGCGCAAAGAACTTGGTTCAATTTCTTTGTCCAATTTCTTGTATCGTGGACACAGAGCTTAAGTATTTTCCAATAGTAACTATTCACGAAAACTATTGACGAATGGTTTCTTATGGAAAAATACTATTGCGATTCAATAGTAACGATAGACAGCCACTAAATAAAAAAGTAAAATTTTTATTTATTACCTTTGTTCGGGCGCGCAATAAACGCGCCGAACGAATCGCCGAATCCGTTCCGCGAGAACGCGAGATAATTGCGAGTGGCTTCGTTCAGCCCTTTAACTATGAGACGACCGGGGTTTCAGTTAACCGCGGACTCGATCGCTTGTTAGGAAGTTGAGTGGAAGGCCCAAAAGACAGCAATTAATTTATAATACATATAAACTTTATTCGATATAACAAAACGAAACTGACGAAACGCGAGATGTACAAAGAAATTAGTGCGAATGCACTCGACGCGTTGTGACTTGTAGTATGCGTAATTTTGAAGTGCGATTTACATAAATGCGCAATGAACAGCGGTAAAAACGATAGACGGTATCGCGGATGCAATTGTCGCGGTGTGACGGAGTTGCGAAACACGGTCTAACGTCCGATGCCTACAGAGACGCGGTAGGTACATACGGCAGGAAGCGAATTAAGCACCGGGGTCACGACAGCGAGAGGGCTCGCAACGAGACCGAGCGTGCTCGACCCCGCGGAATCGTGATCGTCGGTTTGGTAGGCTGGAATTCGGGGACACCTGAGAGTACTCAGTCGAGACTCGGAGCACCGGACCTCGTTTTATGTGTCGCCCTAGGAAGTTGGATAGGGTAGGCTTCGTCGAAGGCAGCAGA